TTTCTCAGTATTTTGATTTTTTTGCACCCTCAGATTCCAGATTTTCAAATAGTTGTATCTCGGCCATTATTTACTCAGCTTTCAGATGATGTATAAATCTCAATTTCAAAAAATTGACCCTTATGACTGGTTTTGTGGTCCAGGGTCACATTTATGCAAATATATAAGCTAAAAATGCTTGTTTTTTGCATAATGCTTATTCCGTGCCACTAGGTCTCAGTACAACCCCACAGCAAAAAGGTAACCGAAACAAAAAATGATTGGAGTGCACATTTACTTAATCTTTTCTTTCCTTGATTACACTTTTATTTTAGGCACATTGAATCTGGTCGCATCACCTTAACACTAGCTGTAATTGATATCTGTAATGGATGAAACGTCTTCATAATATTTTTCAATCAAGTCTTCTGGTTGCCTTGACAGGATTCTGTGAATATTTATTTTATGACTCACAACCTTCATAAAGACAAACAATTTTTCCCCTCCATTTATTTAGTCACCTCTTTAATCAGCCCTTACTTGTTGAATCATTTGTTTCATTTGTATGTCTTTGTTGGTGTAAATCAGCTTGGATTCTTGTAGATAAAGGTTAATTATTCCACTGAGATTATGTTTAAACGGAGCGAAATTTTCAAAGCTCCAATATCTTCAGCAGAGCTGTAGACTTATTGTACATAATTAGTGTGAAATTTGATTGATGAGGAACCTAATTAGGTGACTAAATAGCAATTAGCTAATCATCTAGACATAGTGAGAAAGATAATGTCACTGAGAATGAGCAGATTTTACCCGGGACAGGTTTTTTTTTATCATCAATCTGTCAGTATTATCACATCAATTATTTCAGAGTATCTTCATCAGAGTGCTTTACATTTGATTTGATCAGTTTTTCATATGAAGGCAGCAGATATTCGGAATAACGTGCAATGCTACACCAGGTGAGCTACCGAGCAAGTTTACTGTGTCTGAAGAGCCAGTATTGTGCAAAGGAACCTCATGAAAAGACTTTATTAATAGATAATTTGCCCCATGTTAATAATTTGTGGCATGTTTTTCTAATAAGCTTTAGGTTGCGATATTCCAGATCAAAGATTTTCTTGTGTTTTTGGTGTCTCAGTAATAGCTCTTTGGATGGGAAAATACCATTATATTTATTTTGATCTTATTTATTTAGGCTGACAGTTTATTTCTCCTTCACTCAGTCTGGTCCCTGAGGATGACTTGTGGTTGCTTTGGGATTTCCTTGTCTCCAGAGAACACAACACTCATCGTAACACATCCACTGCCTTCTGCATGTTATCTTTGGGCAGGTCGAGGTATTTAGACATCAAAGTCACCACCAGACGACTGCAGTAAGAAAAAGTCACTCTCTGTGTATTCACAACACAAGACAAAGAAATACAAATACTCATATTCACAATAATTAATTCATAGGATGTTATTTTCTAATTAAATTTATACGCATGTTTGCTATTAGATTAAAAACAATGAACAAAGTATTAATGATAGTTTTGCACATCACATTTATGTTGTCCTTGAATGATCTGTCATCACTTTCAAGAACAAAACAAATTTTTTAATATTACGATGCTGAGCTAACGCTAAATGTGCAGCAGCTAGTTTTGTAGTCATGAGCTTTTGCAGATGATTAACACTTTTTCTGATATCCTGTTCATCTGGAACACAGACTTCTGACAAGCTTTACAGATAATGCTGAGCTGAGATCATTCATTTAAATTCATATCGTTATAATGAAGTAACTCTAACGAGCCGGTTTTGAGTATTAACTGAAATCACCTCCCTATTACAATATTAATGAGTTCTACAGAAGGAACTGGAGTGTAAAATGGAGAGATCTTTGAAAATAATGGACCATGTTCAAGCACATATTTCATAATTTTCTCCAAAAGGTAGCACCTCAAAGGAAGGGACACTAAATTAACTAGATGAGTTCCAGTTCTTAGTGTCAGCCATGATGAGAAATGGTATATATCTGACCAAAGTCGGTACTAAGTTCTTGTGGTATTTTCCATAGAATAGGTTCCATAGCTCTGATCTGCTGCTAAGGACATTGGCTGTTCTAAGGGTGCTTGACTTTACAAATGATCCACAAAGTTTCAATATTAATGGTAAAACAGACTACTCATTTGTTCTAGTGCCATGTACTCTGGCTCAGAGTAATGGCGTTTGGTTGTTGCCTACGGTTTTTGATGCTTTGGTTAATAAGACCTCTTTCCAAAGGCTTTATCAACTTTATCTTGAGCTGATGGATTTCTGTTGTAGCTCTTCTCGTGTCTTAACATCACTTGCTGCACGGTGCAACACTTTTCCCCACACATTTCCTTTTGACAAAGCATTTGTTTCAAGGTTACATTGTTGCCTTAGAGAACTACCTTATGAACAATACATTAAATACAGACAGCTAAAGCAGCATTCAGTTGACCTCATTTTAAAGGGCATGCATTCCTCAAGAAAGTCCCACAGGGATCAGAAGCAATGCTTCTGGAGGATCATTGTTTATTCTTTTCATGATTTTACTAGGCGACTGCATATTCATAAACAGGCTCTGACAATGATGTTTTATTTTCCAAAAAACAGGAACTGTGCCCTTGAACTTTTTCATTCTTCATTGGTGAACATTTGAAGAAACAGCAGACTTTATTTGGGGCACTTAAACCACCTTTAAAAGGCATAAAGGTCAGTGCATTAGATAACAAAATATCAAACCAATTGGCAGTTTTCTTTAATAGTATGCTTGACTAAAATATTTCATGAAAATAAGTTTGTTAGGTTTCAGTTATAGAATAATAGATATTTTATTTAACATTAAGATGTTCAAATGTTTTTGAACACTTTCTAACACTTTCTGGTTGTCAAATGTTAGTGGATCATGTCCATAGATGATGTGATGAACTGCAATGGTGGCCATTCTTGCAGGACACCTGTGTGAACTTGAGAAGAACTGATTTCGTGCATGCAATAAAAATTTTCGGACAATTTGTATAAAAGTAGTTCTAAGAAAATTTGTGTGAAAATGTCACTTGGTTTGATATTTTCATAACTAATGTGGTGAAAATAATTTCTGTAAGTCTGGCTTAACTGTCCATGCACTTTTTTTGGGGGGGGGGGCACTGCATATAAATCACGTTAATGGCTAGCCTTCAGTTGGTGGCATCTGCAATGCATGGGGAACTCATTAAATAGCTGTCTGTAAGAAGGGTGACTTGTCAGTAAAATCCATCAAACCCTGAAAGTCATGTCTGTAGATACTATAATGTAAGACTGGCATCCCCTTTGAGAGCTTAAGGACTTACAATCATGCTGGCTGCGCTAAACCATAAGTAGAACTGCACATGAAATGTCAGAGATTCCAAATCCTCCCTAGATTTAGCTGAGACAGCATATTAGAAAGAGAGAGCAGAGGAGGACATCCTACAGACATGTCTGTGCATTACACTGCAGTCAGGTTTTCCACTTCCGTATTTATGAGAGGCTTGCCAGTTCAAATCACTCACAAATATACATTTATTTTACACTAAAGCCATATTTGGTTTTACATGAGGTAATTTCAGGATTCACAGGCAGTAGCTGCTTTTATTTTTGTTCAAATTGTAAATGTCTGTTTTTCTCCAACCACCCAGAGAGAATTCCCTAAGGAATAATCTTTTTATTTTCTTTCTTTTTTCCCACTAGGGTCGTGTTGTCATTTAATTCCATTCATTTATGGGTTTACAAGGATCAAGTGGCCTAAAAGTTGTTTTGAAAATACTGTTTGACCACTGCTAAGTGCCATTTTGGTGTGTTCCAGCTGTAATCAAGAAATATTAATATTCCTGTCCAAATTAAAACCAAAAAACTATAGAGCCTAAAAATTACCCACTGTTTTTGGCTAACGTGAGAACCGGCTGATGTTGAATTATGAATAAATATTCTCTTAAGTCAGAGATTTTCAGTGAATCAGTTTATCCAGTTCAAAAATGGTCTAAGTTATTTATTCACAAATTGCTTTAATGGAAGATTATCAGTCAAAAACAACATCAATTTGAGATAGGAGGATCAATATGAGATGGGAGAAAAATTAGTGAAAAAAAAGTGAAAGTGACGTGACATGTGGCCAAGTATGGTGACCCATACTCGGAATTAGTGCTCTGCATTTATCCCATCCAAAGTGCACACACACAGCAGTGAACACACGCACACCCGGAGCAGTGGGCAGCCATTTTTTTGCTGCGGCACCCGGGGTCCAGTTGGGGTTCGGTGCCTTGCTCAAGGGAACCTCAGTCGTGGTATTGAAGGTGGGAGAGAGCGCTGTACACTCACTCCCCCCACCTACAATCCCTGCCGGTACGAGACTCGAACCCACAACCTTTGGGTTACAAATCCGACTCTCTAACCATTAGGCCACGACTTCCTCGTCGTGACCCGTGTCTGAAGCATACATTGAAAAAAAACCAACAATGCGGGTGAAGAAAGTGACGTCGCGAAATATCTTGATGAATGTTATTTTTCTGGCCATAACCCTCCAGCTCAGGTGAGCCTTCCTTTCTTCCTGTTTTTCATATAAAGATTGCATAGCGACCCCTAGAGGACGCAGTGTCTCGTTCCCTACTCAGGGAACCATGGTTACATAAGCAACCTGAGACGTTTTTCATGAGAAAGCAACTTTTCTTGGGAGAACGCAAAAGTGAAAGCAAAGTTTCTCTGGGAAAGGCAAAAGTTTTGCGAAAAACTTTGGGTGTTCTGTAATATAGTCTCCATTCATTGTAATTGCATGGAGCAACTGGCAAAGTCAAACAGGCAAAATTTATGAGTGTTTGATGTTTTACACAAAAGAAAGAACATCATAAAGATTTTGAATGACATGAGTGTGAGTAAATGATGACAGAATGTTAATTTTTGGGCAAACTATCCCTTTAGTGTTGAAGTTACCGAAAACATCACTCAAAATATAAAAAAAACAAGCTATGATTGGGGGAAGCGGTGTGAAAGTAATGAAAAAAATCAACCCTGGAAACTCTGTAAGATCAAATGACCCTGTGGCGTTGCCTCCTCTGACAGGTGAGTAAACAGAAGGCGCTCATTATAATGCGTACCTGCTCGGATTTCACACTGAGAGACGCAGGGGATGAGAGAACGCGAACACCGCGGCGTGTTACATAAGCACGCGACTCATTAGCAATGCAGATTCACCGTGTTTTTTACGCCAGATCAGTCAGCGCTGCCGCTTAAAGAATGTGTGACTGTTAATCTCTGTTTAACGTGTGTGTTCTGCAGCGTGAGCCCTTCGACCCTCATTCCTCACACACACACAAATGCTCTTTTAACCATCCGCCTCGTGTTTGTCACTCTCACCTCACTTTGATGTAGTTTATGAAAATTGACTTTACAAGGGCCGCATTTTATGTTCCTCCTTTATTGGCTAGGCTAGCATCCGCTGTGGTACCGTTGTGTGTGTGTGTCTCAGACAGAAAGTATGTGATTAATAGCACTCTTGGTCTCTGGCTGGCTCATTTTTCAGCACTGTTGTTTAAGACCTGTGGCTCTTCTCTTGGTGAGATGTAGATGCGTTTCCCCTTGCTGTTTATTGATATTCTGTTTCCCTAAATACGGACCTATTTGTCTCCGCTGTCTCCCCCCGCCCCACTCATACCTAACCTGAGCGGATGGGCGGATCGGGGAGGAGAGGAGAGGAGGCAGAGAGGGGCAGAAACGGAAAACTATCCGTGATTGATAGGCAATCTCAGTGCCTGTGGCATCTGTAGAATCACCAAGGTGACTGTGAGTGGTTTTCCTTTGGCTTCCTCTCGTGTCTGGTTGTACTAATCACAGTGCGTGTCGTTGTGCTGGAGTATGTGTGTATGTGTGCTTCTGACTGTTTGGGAGAAAGTGAGAGAGAGAAAGAGAGTTTGTGTGTGATGCTTTGAATCTAATGCAGAAGAACAGAGCAGAAGAAGAGCACAGAGTTTGTGGTGACCCTCTGTCTCCAGTGTACATCTGAACTGCTGATTCTGTTCTTCACCTTTACAGTATTTCAGGGACATTTCCATTCTGTAACCCAAAAGGAAACCCCCCAGGTAAAGATTTCTCCATGCATTTTTATTTTTCTCCATGTCATCTAGTACAATGCAGCATTGTTTACATAACCTCCAGGCCTTGCAGCCACAATGTTACATTCAACCAAACTATTGTTACTTTTCCATAGGTTTTACTCTGTTTAACAGTTACAATATTATTTTATGTATTATTTTAATCATATTTAATAATATTATTATAATATTACTATATTGGTTTCTCCATTTTTAAAATAATGTTTTTCTTAAATTCATTCGTTCATTATGAAATTTGAGACCTT